TTTGATATTATATATTTTATTAATATTTTCAAATTCGACTACATGAATCCTCTACGCACACATACACTTCATGATGCCATTTAGAATGCAACTTTCCAACCATGAGGTATTTTCCTATACATGAATTACTAAATATAATTGTATAAAGACATGTGGTATAATTTTAATGAGAAAAATCATTCAACAATGGTATACGGCGATAAAAACCGACTTACTTGTTCGAATGAAAATTTAGAAGTTCTTGACTGTTTTTTAAGCAAGAAAAAATAGAAATTCTTACAAATTCTATATGGTTAGATCAACTCCTAGTGTATAAAATTTTAGATGAAAACAAATTAATAATATTGTCAATTTGCACGGAGTAGTTCAATGATGTGAGATTAGACTTAGGATGAACCATAGATTCAAAATGAAATCGAACTTCGCTAGCGATTCTATCATCTAATTTACATATTCGCATTGAGTAGTTATGAGTATTTGAAATTTATTGTCTCTAACTTTGTCTTGGAAAGTTTAGTGTTGCAAAATAATAATAATAATGTCGATTGGGAAAAAATATTTGTAATACAATAAATTACACAAATAGTCTTTAAACTATGACTCTTGTGTCAATTAAGTTCCTTAACGAAGTTTTTGTATCAATTGAATTATTAAACTCGAAAATTTTATAAAGTAAATTTTTGAACTAATTTTCGTGTTAATTGAGCTATTAAACTATAAAATTTTAAAAATTAAGTCAGTATGTTCATCGCTATTAGATTTTTGGACAAAATATTTCACATGCTTACCAAATGGACGATAGATTAGAGAAATTTTAGATTGTTCATTCAAAATTTATTGGACAAAGAACCTTATTCCTTACACCCATCAACCAAAGTCTTAAACCTGAACTTTTTTCATACCTATCAAATGAAAAATAAAACTCTTTGATTTGGTATAAAAAATAGAGTTTAAAACTTAAAAATTTTCTTGAGGTCAAATTATGAATTTCTTAATCCTAAGGTGGATGACTTTTATGCAAGCAGGAAAGAAGTTAGTTAATGTTCGTGTAAATGAACGGGAGCCTAACAATAATATAAAAGAAAAATTTTAGTCACATTCTTTTTATTTTATCATATTTTTAAAAACACTCTCTTTATTTTTTAAATCTTTACTAAGACCCATTTCAAATTAAAGGCTTTAAATATAATTTTATTAAATTTTCATGATATATTTTAAGAAAAATTTCATCCATAACTCCTTTAAATAGACTTATCTTTAATGAGAATCCATATGTTTTATGAAATTTTTATGTATTAAAATCCGATTCGAGTTTATTAAAATTTTTGTTTAATCATCTCGAATCAAATTTTAATTAACTCGTATTGAATTTTAATTGGCCCACATTTTAATACGTACAAAATATAAATTTTGATCGATTCGAATCGAATTTTAATCGGCGTTAACAACTCAAGTTGAGTTCAAATCGACTCGAATTTTAATACATAAAAAAATTTAATAAACTCAAATTTTAATACATAAAAAAAATTAATTAGCTTGAATTAAAATTTTAATACATAAAAAAATAAATTTTTATCAGTTCAAATTTTAATATATAAAAAAATAAATTTTAATCGAAACAAATTTTAATTAAATTTCATATATAAATATTATTTGGGGGGTTATGTAGGGGTAATTTTGATATTTTAGATAATTTTTTTTGTTAGAAATAGTGGTTTAATGGTAGGGGTGTCAATAATGTTTAAATATAAACTAAAAATGATGTTAATAATATTTTTGAATAATAAAATGAGTGTCTTTAAAGATATGGTAAATTAAAAAATGTGTGACTAAAATTTTCTCTAATATAAAAAAAAAAAAAAAGGAAATGAAAACACATCTATAAGATAACATGACTAATTATTGTCTGTGCCTGAAGATAAAGAATAATAAAAAAAATGGTTAACAATACATATATTTATATGTACATCTAAATCAAATTTCAAACATAGAGAAAAAATAATAATTTAAATACCAGTTGTTGTGGGGGTAAACAGTGGTAGTGGTGGTGGTGGAAGACAGCGATGGTTTATGGTGGGTGACGATGACCAAAGTAATAGTGACAGTCATGAGTGACAATAGTGATGCTGGTTGTGAATTTTTGGTGATGATGATGGTAGTGACAGCCATGGATGACAATAGTAGTGGTTGTGGGCGACGGTAAAGGTGGTTGATAGTGGTGATGATGGGACGACGATGATGGTTGGTAGTGTTGATTGTGATGGTGGGCGAAAGGTGTTTTTAGATGACAATGTGATGGGTTACGGTAAATAACAGTGGTGGCAGTGTAAGTGTGGTGGGGGTGACGGGGGTGACAGTGATTGACAGCGATGGTGGGCAATGATGGGTGGTGGTTGATTGTGATAGTGGGCGGCGATGGATGGTGGTGAACAACAATGGTAGTGGTGGATGTTGATGGTGACTTTTGGTCTAATGATACTCCTTACCTTATGAAGGCTTTGCCTTTCTTGAGGTCAAAAGTTCAAGTCCCTCTTCTTTATCCCCTCCCAAAAAAATTAAAAAAAAATTAAAAGAGATGAAAATTATAATGGGTGGTAACGGTGGACGACAATAATAACAATCAGTAGTAGGTGACAATGGTGGTGGTGGTGGTGATGGGATGACGACAATATTGTCAATAACGATGGTGGTGAGGTGATGACAGTAGTGGTGGCGATGGTGAGGCAGTTGCTGTGGCGGTGGTGGTGGTGATGAGGCAGTTGGTGTGGTGGTGGTGGTGGTGGTGTGTCAGTAATGATGGAGTAATTCCAAATTCTATTTTTTTTTAAAGTATTCATAAGTAGTTATAAGTTTTAGAAATATTTTTAAAAAGTCATCATAAATACACTCGTTAGATGTCTATATTCTTTATTATATTTGAAGCGTTAATATTAGTTAATAAATTAATTTTAAAATAAAATTTAAAAATATTTCAACTGTAAAAAATAAAAATTATTTTATTATATATATATCATATAAAATAAGACATGATCAATAAATTTATTCGACAATCTCAAATAAACTCATTCAATGATCATTAACACTTCTTTCAATCACGAGACCACAAAAGTTAGCACAGAAATTACACCAACCGACATGGAAAGGGAGAGAGAGAATCAAATTCCGTTGAAAAATTAAAGGCCCAATAACCGACAAGTTCCATCCACGTCCAAACACAACCCATCTTTACACTTAAAAGCCTCTTTCCCTCCTCTGTTCCAATTGCATACTTCCATTCTTCTAAAATCGCAAACGCAAATCCAAAACCCAAGATCGACATATAAACTTGCTGATAACCTAAACAATCCGATCCGAAAATGAGTGGGAGCGAAGGGAGCTCGGGGCACTCGGCCGGCGGCGAGACGGGAGCGCCGGCTGCGGAGAAGAAGAAGGAGAAGGCGAGAGTGAGTCGGACGTCGCTGATACTGTGGCACGCGCATCAGAATGACGTTGCGGCGGTGCGGAAGCTTCTGGAGGAAGATCCGTCGCTGGTGCACGCCGGAGATTATGATAATCGGACTCCGCTTCATGTGGCGAGTATTCACGGATGGATCGATGTTGCCAAGTGCTTGATTGACTTCGGGGCTGATGTCAACGCCCAAGATCGCTGGAAAAACACGGTAATACTTGCTATATATTTACGCGTGTGTGTGTGTGTGTATCGATAAATGGATTTGTATTTATGTATCTGAGATTTAGTTGTCCGAGTGTGTTTCTCATTTTGTGTTGATGTTGACTTTGATTATTGCTAGAGAAGGTTTTCACTGTTAAATTGGTTTTAGGGACTTGTGTCACACCAACGCTTGCTGTTAATGCTTCCTCTTTAGATGTTATGGAATTCAATTGAATGGGAAGGAATTTCTCTCTCTCTCTCTCTCTCTCTCTCTCTCTCTCTGTCCGTGCAGCTGGAAATTAACTGTAGTTTCTTCATGTTTGTCTTAAATTTTGGGGCTCTTGTAACTAAAATTTGTTCTTTCATGGAAACTATCAAGGTCACTAGCATTGATTTTTTTTTTTTTTTTGGTGGCCTGAAAAGAGCTGAAGGTAAAAGTTGCTTGGAAACTATGAATTTCTGGCAAAGTTTCTTTTCATTTCTTTCTGGTGACATACATATTTGATATGTAGCTTGAAAGAGTCATCATTTTCTGACAATTATTGTTATTGCCGACTAGGGCAACTCTCTCTCTCTGAAAACAATAACTCTTGGCTAGTGAGTTAGTTTCTATCACAGGAGTTCTTGGCTGGAAAGGTATGACCTGTTACATCATGGCTCTGGATGTAGTATTGCTTAATGCATTTCATTGATTTATATGTGACGTTTTGGCTTATAATTTTCGCCAACTGTATGGATAAGGACTTAGTTTTCTGCCTATTATTCACACAAGCAGGCTTTAAACCTCGTTAAGGCTAAAGGTACCTTACCACATTTTTGTGCGAATGACCAAAACCAATAAATGCATCATACTTGCTTTGGGAGTACTTCACAATTTACACACATATAGTCATCCACCCCATATCTCACCACCAGTCCTCTAATTGACTCTACCTCTATCTTACAGCCCGCGCCCAACTCTCAAACCCACGTCCACCCTTTTTAGATCAGGAAAATCGTGTGGTTTTATGAACCAAGACCCCACTTCTAAACCCACCTCTACCTTGGCAGAGATAATTAGGGAAAAAAATCAAAAAACTAATTGAGGCAATTGTTGTGGAAACTGAATGAAAGTGTAAAGGAAGTATTTTTTAGATAAATGAACTAACAAAAATGTATTTTGGTCCCAACTGGAAGTTTAATACCTCAAATTATGATTTAGTTATTTAATTTCACTATCCATAGAAATATCTTAATCTATGGGAATAGATATTTTAAATCATTTAAGGCGCATTAGGATTGGCAAGTGGGCAACCTGCTAAAGGCCCATCTAGAATGAAGGGCTACCCTTTTCCACCTGGGCAGTTAACTTGTGGGCAAGCCAGCTTGGCCCGATGCCCATCCTGCTTCTTAATTGTTTGATCTTATGTCCCTTTTTGAATCTTGTGCGGCTATGTTATGTCATATACGAGCCTTGTATAGTACATGGTCATGTGCAGGGACAAAGCCAAACTGGCTAATGTAATATGTATATTTTTTGGTAATGCATTCTGTACAAGCCTCTTTGTTGACCGTGCAGCCTTCATGTAGCTCAGTCCTTCACTGTTACTCTCAATATGTTATCTGAACTTGACACTACTCATGACAGCCTCTAGCTGATGCAGAAGGAGCTAAAAAACATAGCATGATTGAGTTGCTAAAGTCGTATGGTGGCCTGTCTTACGTAAGTCCAGTCCTTTCTATTCTCTCTATACCTCCTTCGGTGCTTTGTGATGTCTGTTATAATGTGACACTGGATTTGGTTCGATAATTTTGTTTTCTTTTGTTACTACCATGATGATAGTAGTTATTGACCCTTCAGTATTATATCAAGCTTGGGGTAGCTGGTGGCTTCTTTACATTCTGCTGCTATCCTAGATTGCATCTGTAGAATTTTGATAACGTGTTTAAATTGAAGCATGCCTTAGCTTATGAGAACACTAATCTAGGAAAAAACTGCTGGCAGTTACTCAGTTCAGACTTCGGAATTATTTTTCTCTTGTTATTTGCGTAACTTCGATTGACCTATTGGTGACTATTCATTACTCAATTTTGGCTGTTTATGGCCCCACTTTAGTGTCCTGCAAAAGTTTTTTTGACTTTCAATGTGGAGTGTGAGCTGCCAAAGTTGGACTACCGTTAGTATGCTACCCAGGCTCTGCATTTGCTAAGATAATATTTTTTTCATTGAACAAGAATGTGTTTGATTCATCTACAAGACTAAAATGTGAAATCTTTTGAAGAGGTGCTGATAAATCTGATTATTTCGAGTTGGGGTTGTGAACGAGTTAATTGATTGAAAAATGGGGGACTGCTCAATTGCACGAATGACCTCCCACTTAGGCTCAAGTTTTCTTGTTTTTCTCATCAACAAAACACAAACAATTGTCAATTGGGCAAATCTTGATCCAAGTTCCAGTAGCTTTGTGGCCTTTGAGCCTTGGAGTGCTCATGAGCTTGGCAACAACGTTTTAGATTGATGGTAAAAATTAATGAATCCTATGCTGAGTTCACGTGGCTTGAATATTTATGATCAGAAAGGAAATTCATCTTCCTCAAGTCACCTATCCTCTCTGCAGAAACAAAAACAAAAGAAAGTTTGTTAAGGAAAAAAAAAATCTCTCTAAAGCCTAAAGACATTTTCTTGACATATTCACAAGTCTCCAACAGGGCCGAGTCAATGTGATGTTGTGATCGGAGTAGAAAGCTGGTGGATTTGACCTTTGAATGATTTTGAACAACTCAAGTAAGTTTGATTGGCTGACTATAGTCAGAATCTTTATTATCTACAGAAGAAACGTGGGACCTAAGTTCTGAAGTTCAGGATATTGTATTGCTGGTAAGGCAGCTACAGCAGTAACATCCACTTAAGTTGGTCATTGCAGAGCAAGAAAAAAAAGTATGTACAAATTAAATTTCCTTTTCTTGCAAAAGGACATGTAACGACTATGCAATTAAATACCATTCACATGTTAATCAAACTTCAGCCTCTAACCTCGTTATAACAATATATGCTTTTTTACTTGCGCATGGAAATACAAGCATAAAATCTTACTGTTACCTTGCTTCTTCCATTTTGTTTTATTGATGTTAGTGCTAAATAGACTAGAAGTCTTCATGAAGATACTGATGCTGATATATCTTCTGAATTTAAGGTTTAACTGATTTTGTGGAAGCTTAAGTGGTATTTTTTATGCTGCAGGGCCAGAATGGCAGTCATTTTGAACCAAGGCCTGTTGCACCCCCATTATCAAAAAAATGTGACTGGGAGATTGACCCTTTGGAACTTGACTTCTCGAACTCGGTCATCATAGGGAAGGTGTGGTTTCAGTAGTTTTTTTTTTTAATTTTTTTTATGGATATATGGGATTGTAAATCTCAATTTTATTTGTAAGCTACTATTCTAGTAATAGCAGATATATGTAACAATATTCTAGGAGTCATGATAAAGACTATGACTGTCTGTTTTTGAGCTATGTACCTCTGTTACTGTATCTGCACAATCTACTGTTACTGATTATAGCTGATGCTGGTAGGGGTCCTTTGGTGAGATTGTAAAGGCAGGTTGGCGTGGAACACCTGTGGCTGTCAAACGCATTCTTCCAAATCTTTCAGATGATAGATTGGTGATGTAAATTCGACTGTCCATAGCTCATTTTCTTTTAGTGGTATTTTGACTTTTACATCATGATGCACATATGACTGCGTTAATTACAGGGTCGGGATATGATAATTTTTTGTTTCTGTTATATGTGTCAATTTTGTTGGCAGATTCTTTTTTGAACACCACTGATTGTTAATGGGAGCCAATCCAAAGATATAAGAGCAGGGTGACTTGTCAATTTCAAATGGCCATGAAATCTTCTGACTTTATATTCCATGCTTTCTTAGCCTAGATGATGGGTTTCCAAGGGGTTAAGCAGGGATGTATTGTTTTGTATCTAAGAAGCACAGACACAGTCTCAGACGCGGACGTTACATTACTCAAAAAATTAGGACACAAACATGTTAGGAACACGCTACAGATAATTGTGTTATATATATAAAATTATATAATTTGTTACAAATATAGTGGTAGTAATAATGATATATTATTCATAAAAAATTTAATATTTTCATGATAAGTAAATGTTATGTCTAGTCATCTAGTGTGAATTTTTAGACTAACATCATAATAATCAATAATCGTCAATTTTTTGTAGATGTGTACTAAATATATATAATTTAAATGATTGTTATCATTTTTTCAATTATTTTTTTTCTAAATCTTTTATGTATATTTTGCTTTTTTGTTATTATATTTTGAGGACAACTTTAACATGTATAGTCTTGGTAATTATATGTTATCTCATAGTATAAGATAATTAATAGTCAAAATTTTAAACTTCATAAATCACATGTTTATTGTTTAATAGTAGACACGGTCTAAAGAAGTGTCGGACACGTTATCAAAGAGGTGTCCAACACGTGTCCAAAATGAAAATTTTATTATTTAATTATGGACACGGATAAGAGAATAGCTGACATGTGTTTGAGAGTGTCAGTGTCCGACACGGATACATCACCTTTTTGAGAGTGTCTGTGTTTTGTATCGATTAGGCTTAACTGGTCACTGTCACATTAAATGAAAACCGATATTTTGTCATGGCAATATTTTATGTCCTCTTGCAAACCCAATTTCCTTTTCTTTTTGGCCTGAAATACCTTGCTTATGGTTTATTGTTTGATTTAGTCAGGACTTCAGGCACGAGGTGAATTTGCTAGTGAAGCTTCGCCACCCTAACATAGTGCAGTTTCTTGGAGCTGTTACTGAAAAGAGGCCCTTGATGTTAATTACTGAGTATTTGCGTGGAGTAAGTGAATGCTTATTTGATCGTGTCTCCCAAAGTAGAACCTTTATCTTTCTTTTTGATTAATGGAGCACCATATGCTAAATAGTGGCTTTCTTATTTCGGTACAGGGGGATCTTCATCAGTACCTTAAGGAAAAGGGTGCACTTAATCCATCAACAGCAGTCAACTTTGCATTAGACATTGCCCGGTAATAACCAGTTTTCAATATTGTTTACCTCCACTTACTATTGTCAAATTGCCGGATCCTCCGGCCTCTTTATTCTAGTCAGTTGTGTTTAAGTGTGGTATTTTTCCTCAGTTCCAACCTTCCTTTCTTTTCTGTTGAAAAAGTGAAAAAGAGAAAAACATTAGATCCAGATACTCAGTTGCATTGCTAGTGTGATAGTTTTTCATTGCTCTACTTTCCTTGGTGTACTGTAAGTTGTTGCCTCAGGAATCAGTGCTTGAATTGAATTCATGCAAAAAACCTGTGTGCTCAGTTGATTACCCAGATGATTTTTCTTTTCACTGCTCAGATGAGTTTTAGTAATTGCAGTTAGAGTTTTCAAACTTGTTCCATAATAAAGAGAACTCAGCAGATGGAACTATTTCACTCATCAAAGGTTTTATAGGGTTAACCTTATGTGGATAGATCATATTGTGCTTGGCAATTTTAAGGGTAGATCTAGGAGTTATTTCAGAATTTTCTCCATGGTATTGCATTTTATCAGAATAAGGCCCTCTTATTTCTTATGAGTGAAGGANTTGGCAATTTTAAGGGTAGATCTAGGAGTTATTTCAGAATTTTCTCCATGGTATTGCATTTTATCAGAATAAGGCCCTCTTATTTCTTATGAGTGAAGGAAAACTACTTTTACCTTTTAAGGTCACTTTTCTCAGGAATCTCGGCAGACAATATACCCGCCATTGCCTCATATTAAACATGATATTATTATTATTGGCAAAACAATGTGATCCAAGTTGGAGAAGTATAGAATTATTTTCCAGTACTCCTTTTCTAATAGTCAAGTCCTGTCATATTGAATGTGAATATTATGCTAATCTGAGTTTGATAAATCTTACATGGGCAGAGGCATGGCTTATCTTCACAATGAGCCAAATGTTGTAATTCACAGGGACCTAAAGCCAAGGTTAGTTGAAAATCTGTTCAAGATCTGACTGTAATCGTATATCCTAGGTTAGTACCTCTTTCTTAAATTTAACAACGTGAAGCCTAGTTTTTTGGGTAATTTAACAACGTGCCATGGTATATGTGTTTTTATGTTGTGTTGGTCAAAGAACTAAATTTATTTTCCTTTCCACCAAAATGACTGTAAAGAATGAAAATCAAAATGAATCAGTAATTAAATATCGAAATTCTTATGTTTGAGGTGTTTTAGAATGCTTCAACGTGTTCACAATTTTTCGGAAATAAATTTCCAATTTTTTTCTCGGATTTTGAAATATTTTGAAATGTTTTCGATTCCGAGCTAACTAAAATTTTGTACTAAAACGAATTTTTGATGCTTGTTGTTGAAGTAGGTATTTTGTTTTTGAATTTTTTTTTTTTTTGGCCATAGGGGGTGGGGCTGTTTGTTTCTACTTTCTATATCTGCGAGGCTGACTCTTGTAATTTTGCAGGAATGTTCTTCTAGTCAACTCCAGTGCAGACCATCTAAAAGTAGGAGACTTTGGACTAAGCAAGCTTATTAAGGTTCAGAATTCCCATGATGTGTACAAAATGACTGGCGAGACTGGAAGCTGTGAGTGTCTGATTTCTTTTTTTTTTAGATAGAGTATGAATCTTTATGTTGATAGTTATCCTCCTTGTTTTTCGGTGGAATAAAACAAAAGACCGGTATATGGCTCCTGAAGTTTTCAAGCACCGGAAATATGATAAGAAGGTTGATGTTTTCTCCTTTGCAATGATCCTCTATGAGGTAATCTTGTTTTTTATTAGAATCATGAAAATGATACAAAGTTAAAGAATATCTAGTTGCTGATGCTCTGAAGGTTGCAGATGCTTGAAGGTGACCCACCGCTGTCACACTATGAACCTTATGAAGCAGCCAAATATGTGGCAGAAGGACATAGGCCTATGTTCAGGGCAAAAAGTTACATGCCTGAATTGAGGGAGTAAGTTGCATTTGGAGTTCTTGTAGTCTGTAAATAGTTTTGCAATTTGCATTAATACAACATGCATGGCTGATAAATTGACTCCAATGCTCTCATTTGACAATCTCCATCATTGTTGGCTTGCATAAAACACCTATAATAAAAAGAAATTTTATGGTTGCTCATGGAGAGCACAAAAATCACCCTTGGTGGATGATTTAGTTTTGCAAAGCAGTGTGGATGAATTTGTGAAGGGGGGAAGTTGATGAGCTTGCTTACACAAATACAGACAGGAGCCCACGAATGTAAATTCGTCCGTCATTACTAGCAAGCCTCTTTACAAGTTACCAAACAGTAAAAAAATTGAATATAGAAATTCCAAGATTAATAATGTCTCTCTTTATCCGTGGCACAATAGTTGTTGCCATACTTTTATTGTCTAATTCTTTTCAACATCAAAAAGAGATTTGACATTCTGTTATGGATCTTTAAACACCTTGGGTTTGACATTGACTACACATATTATGCGACCAAAGCGTGTCTTGGCACATCTATGTATTCACAGTGAATGGCATATTTTTTCTATCCTTAACATGTACCAGAATCTTGGGTTGCTAATTTCCTTTGAACTTTTTAGGTTGACAGAGCAGTGTTGGGCAGCAGATATGAATAAGAGACCTCCTTTCCTGGAAATTCTCAAGAGGCTTGAAAAAATTAAGGAAATTGTACCTGCAGATCATCACTGGCACATCTTTAATTCTTGACATATTAAAGCCTATATCCGGATATTGAGACTTTAGTTTGGTATGTTAATCAATCTAACCTTGTATCCTATAATTATTGCATGGATGGGGTTGTGATTAGACTAAATTGGATGAGGTCAACTTGAGTTGTTGCTGTGACAATTCCTTCAATTGCTCATTCAGATCTCGAATACAAACATAGTCCGTGATGTTGCCTACTCTCACTCAGTTTCAGTAGTCCCGCAGTCTCTCAAAACAGTTTGCGAAGGAGTCTCGTCTAAATCAACAGATTTCAAGTGTTCATCTTCCGGTCAGAATCTTGTCAGCTCTTTTTTTTTTTTGTTTGAAAGTTGTAGTTTGTTGTGGTTTAGGTGAATACTAATACACCCAGACAAGCATTATTCTGTCATTTGCTTTTCTATTGTTTACCGCGCAGACAAGGTTCTCTACGTGAGCCTCAGAGTGGTTGTTTGGGCTATTACATTGTTATCTCTGTAAATGCCGGATTTATTGTTTTGCTAAAGATTATGTTGTAGTCTTTCGGATTTCAGAATATTTTAGCTGTGGTTACTCTTGATTTGTCGGCTTGTTTTAGCTGCTGTTGATTGTGATATCCTTGAAGGATGTGCTGTACCTGCGGGTCCGAGTGAGTGTGTTTGTGCATGCAAGGACATGGAAACAGAGTGTTGCTTCGGATGATGCATCCACCCCACCACCGTAAAACCAGCAAAACTTCAACCACTATTCTTCGGTTGGCATATCGTCTAAGGGTGCAAGGTGCTTCGACTGATCTCACCAGGGGAGCAACTTGGGCGGGTTGAACAATCACCCTTAACTCAACCCTAAGTATATAATCTTCAACCTTAACTCTACCTCGGGTTGAAGGACTCAACCCGAGCACTGTCCGAGTTTAATTCGGGTGGACTTGGATTGAATTCGGATTAATAATTTTGGGTTATTTTACGGGTTCAATTCGGGTTGAGCCCAAAATAGGTTTGTTGTTCCAAATATGATACATATATTATATAATATTTACCTAAATTAACAATTAACAACTTTAATCAAGTTTTTAACATAAAAATTATAATATTAAGAATTCATTATTTGAGATAATGCAATTATAACTATACAGAATACAAATAAACACAACCAGAATCCTTATACAAACATAGAGTTTACTACTTAAATAGTGAGTGAGGGAGACGCACAATGAAAACTTCAGAACAGATTAACTTTAGACTTAAAAAATATATTTATATGGTTATGAATATTCGGGTTGAACCCGATTTTAATATTCGGGTTCAACCCGATAATCTTAGGGGTTAACCCGAAGCCTGTACAAATTGAATTCAAATTGAGATTTTTTGATTCAACCTTAACTTAAGTATTAAAAATCCTAGTTCAAGTCTTAATTTTTTCAGGTTGGCCTTGGGTTAGTCCACTTAAATTACATCCCTAGATCTCACGGTCCGGGGAGGAGGATTTTTTTTTT